AGTATAAAAAGATTACTATGATGCAGAGGTAGTTATGAAATACAGAAAACATTTTACCAACTCAATTCAATCTATGAGACCTTCAACTTTATAATTTTGAGTGGCAAGTAATGGTTCAGAGTAAAGGACTAAGACTCGCCTTCAGAATTTTATAAAACAAGTGATTTCAACACTCTGTATTAGTAATGGGCATTAGAGTTAGATTCTACACTAGAAAAATGTAGAAAGACTTTTGAATGGAAGTCTTCATTCAAAAAACTTTCCACAGGAAATATTGTGGAATGGAGTTCTGTTTCAGCATTCTACAGCTTCTGTTCAGAAATAACCGAAACAATAGAAAACTTCAGAGCTGGGACAAAAAGAAAGGGCAGAATTCAGACCATTGTAGAGCCACCGTAAATAATTCTAAGCTTCCCCTCAGACAGTGTAACAGAGGACGAGTGAGCTCTCAGACAGACGTGATATTTGAACCCTTGAGAATGCTAAAACCTTCACCATTGTGTGACAATTATAATTCAAAACAACATTATGGACTTCCCATTTCACTGCGATCATCAGCATGGTCTTCAAACAAACGTTTAAATTGAGGCTTTGGCACAGACCTGAATTAACTATGATTCATCAGATATTCAATGAAAAACAAGGAGAGATCATATCCATAGTGAAAAACGAGCAATGTTAGGCTATTGTTGCTGGAACAAGATCAGGGAAAGAAGAAAATGGCAAAAGTACTATGGTGAGGAATTTCTGCTAGTGAGGTGGGGCAACCAAACTTGCAAACAAGCCTCAGATGAATGTCGTTCTTTAAAAACAAGCTTCCAAAAAAAAGTACCATTCATTTTTCCCACTGCTAAAGCCTGGTTTTTAACATTCCACTACAAATGAAGCTACTGTACTGTGTGATTTGCTAATTTGCTACTGAAAGATGAATTTTGAACTATGCCTATTTTGGCATAAAAAGAGGTATGAAAGACAAAGATAACACCCAGAACTGTTGATTTTAGCTGCATTAAGCCATTTTCAACATGGAATCAAAACAATACAAAAAACTGGAAAAATTAAAAAGTAAACAATCATAATGATAGCATGGAAACGCAGAGTCTTTTTGATGAGTAAATGCTAGTGTAATAGCCTTATATAATACATCATGATAGTAATAAACTAAGCTACACACCTGAAGAAGGCTCCACTCCGAAACGTTGTGTCCTCTTTCTTCTTTTCTTTCAGCATGGAATAAACCTTTACTTGTTACTTTGCAGCCTACGCATGCTGACGCAGCTACCCACCTGAACTACATAAACTAAGCTATGCCTACTGTACAGTATATTATTCTGTATGCTATATATTAATGTGGTATTGTGAACATTATTGTTATTTATGATTTGGCTACTTCTGAAAACATGCAATTGTAAAAACATAACATATGTTTTTAAACATATTTGAACTTCAGCTTTTGGGTGCAGCCAAACAATGTTAATAACATAAAACCATAATTAAAAAAATAATTAATACTGAACAGCTGTTTAATTATGAACATACAGTAAGAAGCATTTCCAATGAGGATATATACTAATTTGGTTCTTCTTGCTTATTTGACTACTAGGAGCTACCTAATATCAAACATAATTTTTTTTATGGATCCCAGAAAATCAGCTTGAACATCAGCTTGTCACAACTTGGCCAGATGGTTTATTCCAGGTTTTATAGCGCCAGGTTAAATTAAAGGGAAACTAGTGCTGGAACCCTGTGCCACTGACCTGAATTCCGGAGACTGAGATTTGGAAAAAGAATGTAGGTTTTCCCTATTGAATAGAGCTATTTGGGCATTGCTTAATTGTTTCTTTTCACTTATCAGTATTTTTTCTTGTGAGTTGACTCACTCTAAGCCAGTACCATGCTGCCACTACTGACAGGATGTCTTATTCGGAGTGCTGTTAACTTAAGACGCATCTATTGAAATATTCCAGATATACATACTGTACCTCACTGCCCATGGGATATCACAATCCTCACAAATATTTATTACTTGAATTCATATATTTTTAGATATACTGCTAAGGACAGTGCTTCTCTCCTATAAAAAATATTATACTTCTGCTGTAAACAACAACAAAGCCCAACAAAGGCCACAGACAGTTCTGGGAAAGGATACTCTTCACTGCTGCGGATGTCCACAGCCAGGATTTTGGGCTTGCTGGATTTGATCCTCTTGGTGGGAGTCTTGAAATGGCCGGGTCCCGTCAGCTCACACAGGTCTATAAGATCTTCTGCAGAAATGCGAGGCGACAGCTCTGCCTTCAGCTCGCTCAACTTGATAGGTTCACGAGACTGGAAAGAAGAAAGCAATACACATTACTGGCGTTCGGTTCTAGAAGGTTCTCTGCTAAAAAACAGGAGAAGAGACAGGTCTCGTCCTTCACTTCACAGAGGTCTCATAATACAAAACCTGGTCAAAAAATGGTGGATTATGGGATCTACAACTTACTGCAAAGAAACACTATGTTTTAGATGAAGCGGGTTTGGGGATCAAAATAGATTATTTTCTATGGCACACCATTTGTAAAATACAAAAAACTATTAAGGAAACATGTCCAAGGACATACAGTACTGGCACATTATCTGGCTTGTTGGAAAACTGACCCTGGTGTATTTGTTTGTTGTGTTTTTGTATGCCATGTGATGGACTGGTGGCTCATCCAAGGTGTATCCTGCCTTGCCCCAATTGCTTGTGTTGGCACCCCTCAACACTGCACTGCGTAAAATGATCAGAAAATGGATAGATGAGTGTACCTAACTCTTGAAATAACAGATATCAACATCCTTCCATGTACTGTGTTTGCTTTCAGCATGTGCCATTTAAATTCTACGAAATTAATTTTTTTAATCATTTTTGTTTTTCCCCTAATCTCGATGGCTTGATTCATTATACATTATTTCTCGGCAACACAAAGTCTGATTTTCAGCTATTATGCTATCTAAAATGGAAACATGCCAGAGAAATGCTGTTCATACTGCTATGAATAAAGCAAACTTCACTTCAAAAGTGGATTAATAATATAAGAACTGTATTGTGTTTTTGGCCTCAGCTTCATGGTTAAGGGCAGCAGGTCATCCCTAACAGCGCTGTATCAAACAAGCACTATCAGCTAGACAGAATCTACTGGCCTTTTACAAGAACTTTTATTCTAAGGCAGAAGTGCACAACAAAACTCCTGAAGGGCCAGAAGGTTTCTGGGTTTCTTGGCATCTGAGACGTAATGTCACTTATTATTTGCTTTACCCAACAGGCTGTAGCCTTTCCTTGCTGTTAAGAAGCTGGAGATGTAAAGAGACTTAAAAAAACCTGCTGAACAAGAGCCCTTGAGAAGCGGAGTTAGGCTCACCTGTTCCAAGCTAAAAAGTGAACATGTGGGACACTGAGAGTCAGCTTTCTCAGTAACGCCCTGCAAGGATCTTACTTGCTGAAAAAGCAGTTCCACCTCCATGCCCATTAAATACAAACACTCCCCAGGCTAAGAGGGATGAAACACAGCTAGAAGTGATTGAGCACAACCAGTAAATGAACATGTTTCGTTTGTAATCCCTCTTCTGTGATAGGCTTAATCTTACGTTTAGAAAAGGATTTTATCATTACATGAGCTGGCAGCACTTTGTTACAGTATTTACTCTTATACTCAACACACCACACTGCTAAGTGCCAGATTTTCTAAGAAATCCTTTCTTCGTATAGCAAACAGTAATGTTAATTAAACAAATTAGGAAAAAGAAAGTAAAAACTAAAAGCATGATAAAAGTAAATGCTACTAAATAATTTAGGTGATTATATTAACCACATCCAAAGCAATGTAATTTTTCACCCATTCATACAGCTGGATATTTTACTGGAGCAATATGGGTGAAATATCTTGCTCAGAAGTATAACAGCAATGTCTCAATATGGTTTTAAACCAACACCCTTCCAGTCACAGTCCAGTATACGAGCCTAAAATACAAAACAAAATGATAGAATATGAACTTTGGTAATACATTATTTTATTAAAATTAAGAATAGTCCTTAATAAATACATAAATACCATAGACCAAAATGTGCTGAGTACTGATAGTTTTCACTTCATTTTCCACTTTATTGTTTTCCTGCTACAGTGTTTCACAGATTCTGTATGAGTGTGAGTGAAACAAAATACCACAAGATACTGTATGTCCAACCCTGCAAGTAGCCCTGATTTCTGGAGCTCGACAGCTTCTTGGAAAAAACCATTAAGAAAAAAAATGGACTTATACTCGGGCCACTTCCTCCATAAAAATCAAAGTGCTAACCCCCCTTTTTGGTGTGCAATGAGGTGACACAGCTCAATGAACCTGTTAGAACACGAAACTAGCTAGTAAAAAGAAATACACTGAAGTCAGTCTCACTAAATTCCTTTTGTCAGCACATTTAAAGGCAAGCTGCACTGGATATCATTTTCAGATCACAATTTTGACTCCTTGGCTTCACAGGAGTAGGTATTCAAGTAATGTTTTCTCTGCAAAACCCAATCGACACATTTGTTATGAGGCGAGGCTGTGGAATTACGATTTTACAGTAAAACCAGCAAAATAAAAACTTATTAAAAAAGAGGCCTTGTCTTAAAACTCTTGACAGCTCAAGGGGTGATGGCCTAAGTGATTCTAACCATTCATTTCCACCTGTGCTGTTAGCCAATGTGTTCCAAAAGGCTTCAGAAATGCTCAGTTGACCACCTTTCACTAGGAAACTGTATGTTGTGGCCTCTGCCTACTGTTCTCTAATGCTCTTAGCAAGCAGACTTAATTCCTTAATTAAACTTCATTAAAAATTAAGGCCACCATAGAGTGAAAGAGGAACCGACCTGGATCAAAGCACTTGATCTTCTGAAACAATGTCAAAGCTGCCATCTGAATTTCCTTCAATTTATAACCAGCAATGACATTTCACGCTTCCTTCGCAGTTAAATTATATACATATTAAACGGCATCGAGAAGCTTCTAGTCCCAGTGGGCATGTATTCGGGAACACTCAAACGGTATCAGAGAAGCAGATGGCTCAGCTTGCCTTATTTTTCTTCCACGAGTTAAAACCATCTTTGACTAGGAGGGATAAACTGTATTTTGAAGGAAGAGATGAAGTACTGGCTGTCTGTTCTCCGTTTTCCTGAGCCTGCCTCACATTGTGAGAGACCCAACACTTGGACGGCATCCACCCTTAAGAGTAAAAACTTCTCAGTTACAGCAAAACTCCAAATCCTGCAGCCAAGTGTTCCTTTTTGGGAGCGAATTCCAGAATAGTAAAGAGAATGCCCTTCACTTCCAGCAAAATACTTAAAGCAAGAGTTTGGAGAGTTTATTTTAAAATAAAAGCCACAACATTCCAGTTACATTACAGTAAAGTAAAAGACACGTATTGTGCTCATTCAGTCATGAACATTCACTGAAATACAGCAATAGTTCAACAGGTCTACTGCTTTTACTTTTTCAGTTGATGATAACTAGAAGTTATACAAACTAGCAATATTAATACCAATTAAATCCTTTGTAAATACACTGAGAACTATATAACAATGACAGGCACATTCAAGATGATAAGCTAGAATCAGGACAAAATGAATCACAGTTCTGGCACGGTATCAATTTTCACTGAACCACCTTGCCAAAAAATCATGAACTAATTGAAATGGAGCTGCCTCTCTTTACAAAAAACCCAGACAAAGCTAACTAGTCCACTCTTTAACTCAATGGATATTTCTAGGAAAATAAACTTGAATTACATTTACAAATAAAGGTTTTAGAAATACTCAGACATGTAAAAGCATGTTATATATAATGTAAATCGATAACTGTATTAATCACTAGAGAAATGCTACTATTTACTACTAGAAGATTTCACTTCAAAAGGTCACAAGTTTTTACAGGATGCATTTATTATCTTAGGTGTTTTTCAGAATCTAAATCTACATCCTGGGTTATAATAAAATGCAACAGAAATAACACTGAACTTATGTAAGTCTTATATCTTCAAAGATTAGTGAAGGCTGTTACCAACTTTGATAATTCTGAAGGACAAGTCAAACTATTGGTGACTACTTAGCTTCTTTCACTTTTCCTTAGATATAGTCATAATGTGTTTGAAGTATGAAGTAAACTTAAAAATTAAAGCAACTGTTGTAGGAAAAGTGTTCTGAGAGTGTTGTATCAAAATGAAATTTAAAAAAAAAAATGAAAAATGAGGCAGCTAGGCAACACACTTTAGAAACTTCTATAGTCTAGATCAAAGCATTTCTATTACAGTGAGCCACTCAGGAACAACATGCAATCAACTGCTTTTATAACATGGGATTCAGTCTCTGCAACCCAGTAAGTGAGAAATCTGGTGCTTTAACATTTTGAATAGGAATGGGATATACAAGCTGCTAAAATACATCAATTGGTAAAGTCTCAAAATATATTTTTAACTCAAAAGAACCTAGGCAGATTTTAAATCGGTCAAATGTCAATGTCAGTGATTAATTTCATGTCTCCTTAATACCCACTGATATCAACCATTTTTTTAGGTGATAATAATATCACCTAAATCACCTGTTTCATGAGAACACTCTTTCTGTGACAAAGAGCGCACATTCCAATTTCTGTTCAAAATGATCTTAGTAACAGTTTAGTTTAGGCTGTCAATAAATGTGTGATAACAATGTAATGTGTTTTAATAAATTATGCTATAATCAGTGCATTTGTTTAGAATTGGAGTTTTGTTACTAACATTGAAATCATTTACAATTGTTGGTTCTTAACACAATTATGCCACTCTATTATGTGTACGAAATGGATTTTGCAACTCCTAAAGTGTTATCATTATCTCTACATCATCTACAAATCACATGCAACTCATCTCAAAACTCTTTTGAAACTGGTTTTCTGATGGTTATCGATACAATGTATACATTTTGATGTATACATTATACCCATTAAATGACATTTCAGTAAACACATTAGTTTAAATTGAAATAGGATTAGTCTTAGAAATAATGTAAATCACTGGTGCATGTTTGGTGTGACTTGTCAACTCTGCAGTTCTCTTCATCACAGAAACTTCTGTCTGATGACTTTCTCCTCTTACATTTAAAGAGAATGAAAAGGCTGTTCCCCAGGGGCCACACAAATCAGCCGCAAAGACCTTTTACATTCACTTGTAAACCTTTGGCAGCAGTGAGAAAAATGGCCTCCCATCAGGGAGATTGATATTGGTAAATACATCACAGAGCCCAATGAGTTGTGACAGACTGAAACTTTACAGGCCTGTCACGCATCATTGGGGATCA